TTGGGGTACTCACATCACAGCCTGGTGCGGGCACTCGGGGCTGGTGGGGTAACAGGCCACCACGTTGGCCCTCCTGATCCTCCTGCTCTGGAAGGTGAAGCAGCACTTGTCCGGCATRGCTGGAGCTCCTGGGGGACAGCAGCAGGGGCTCAGCCTGGACACCCCCATTCCCATCTCAACCCTCCTGTATGGCAATTCCAGCTGTTTGGGGCATCCCCTGTACCCCAAATGGAACAAACCCGACCCCACAGCTCTGGGACTGTCCCCGACCCACAGCTCCGGGTTCTGTCCCTGTCCCCAATCCTGTGGGGTCGGGGCTGTGCTCACTTTGAGCCAGACTGTGCCAGCACAGCGTGCAGAGGATGAGGAGGGCACAGGCCACCCTGGCTGCTGTCACCATGCTGGGCTGGGGCTGTGGCTGAGCCTCCTGTGCRGGGCCAGGCTGCCCCGGCTGCTTTTATGGGGGAGCAGGGGGAGGGCCTGGTCCCCTGCCACGTCCCAAAGCACTCAGGGTAAGTGATACTCATCCCCTTACCCCTCACCCCCTTCCCTTCCCAGCCCTGGGAAAGAAAAAATGTGTTCCCAGGCTGCTCTTCTGGCACCGGCGGCTTTGGGATTTTTCCTGAGCTGCAGCCTCCAGTGTCAGGGCTGCTGGACAGGCTGTTCCCAAAGCTTGGCTCTGCACCCTCGTTCCCTGGGCAGGCTGGGGCCAGCACCAGCGTGGGTGAGAATTTTGGGGATCCCCTTTGGGTGGGATGAAGGGCAGGCCCTACATCCTGCAGGGCATCCCATGGTCCCTGGGGACCAACAGCCCAAAAACCCATTTCAGCCATAGAGAAAACCCCCAAAACAGAGAGAAACAGCTTCTGCTTGGTTGAATCAGGCCCGTGAACCCCTCTGTGCCAGTTTTGGGGGTTTTTGGGGCCCGTGGGGACAGGCAGGTGGCTCCGCTCCTAAATCCGCAGCTCATGCTCTTGGCCGGGCTGGGAAAGGCGGAGCCGGYGAGGGGCTCCCGGTGGATCCTGCCCGGCTGCAGCTGTCGAACAAACCCCCCCCTGTCCCCAGTCCAAACCCTGCAAATCCCAGGACGATTCCCAGCTGCCGGCAGCTGCCCAGGAATGGTGGGAAGAGGCGGGAGGGGCTGCGCTGGGGCTGCGTCCTCTGCGGGGATGGGAATGCTGAGAGTGCCATGGGCAACCGGGACACGGCCCTGGGCAACCAGGATATGGCCCTGGGCAACCAGGACATGGCCCTGGGCAACCAGGATATGGCCCTGGGCAACCAGGATATGGCCCTGGGCAACCGGGACATGGCCCTGGGCAACCGGGACATGGCCCTGGGCAACCGGGATATGGCTATTGGCAACCAGGACATGGCCCTG